ATTTCTAAATTAAATGCAACTGGCCTATTTGCAGAAATTATTAGGATATTCATTTAGCGGTTCTTCAGAAACAGCATTATTCCTGAATATCTTTGCACCTTCGTTATTTGGGGTTATGTATTTTTTAAGAATAAATGTTCACGGAACATAGATTATGTTGAATATACTGTACTGTATTTTATTCGTTGCTAATAGATCTGACTGCTGGAATGGAGTGTGATGGCTGTATTGTAGGTGACCTGGTGGCACCTGAACTGCAACAGGAACATCATATAGTATCTCAATAAACAAACACGTTAGGTTAACTCACGTTAGGTTAACTCCTCAAGGTTATACAATAGGTAAATGTCATTTTAGCACATTAACAGCATCTTAAACCCATTGTTGCAAAAACTCAAATCCAAATCTTGAATGGCAAGAAAATTCCTCACAGATACCTGGTGTATTAGTGTGGATTGAGGCACTGGTTCAATCCTGAGATTCTGGTGAGGTTCATAACTAATCAAGCTTTGCTCTTGTGATTTATGCAATTCTCTGATCTCCTCAATAGGATTACTGTCTTAAATTTACTTACCATTATCCACTTCAACAGAAAGGAAGCACTGACTTGGTCTTTACGTGATATCTGAGGTATCCTGTAAAGGCATCCCAGCCCCGGCTGTCTCTGGAGGCTACACCGCCACTGCAATACAATAGTTTTTCCTTCTCATCTATAACTCAAAACTAATTGGAAATCCATCGGGGGGGGAGGGAGGGGGGGAGGGAAAGGTCATTATAAAATTCTCTGTACAATATTTTTAAAAGTTTTCGACGTGATTGCCTTTATTTATACTGTTGAGTTCTCGCTCCGACACCAGAGCGTGTGGTTGGGAAGCCCTCGGGAATTGAGCATAAGTTTGCTTTTGCTTTCAGATTTTTATTTAAGTGAAAAAATTGACCCTCGGATCAACATCAGATCGCTGTTAATCCTCCTCTCCACACTCACACTCACACACACACACACACACACAAAAGCACACACACATTTGAGCTGAACTAACGTGCAACGCAAGATGCTGAGAATCCCAAACTCGTTAAAAAAAACAATATTTCCAACCCCTGGTGAAGCTTTCTTTTCAACTCAATAGGTGCCTGGTTCACTTTTGCACACACACACACACTATTTCCAGGCAGGGTCTGTAGGATATCAGGAAATCTCTCAGAGCAAAGTACCTGACTGCTCTGTCTGCTGCTCTATCCCATTGAGATTCAGTGCTGCAGAGAAAGGGGTGAACTGTTTCGTGCCACAGAATCGCACTGATGCAGCATTTTAAGCAGACAGACAGACACAGACACAGACAGACACAGACAGACAGACTGACTGAGTAACGAGGAAAAGTGTGAGTGTGCAGAGAGCGCTGAACTGACAGCGTCTGTCCTAACAGCGATATTTCCTGACAGTTGTGTGTTATTGTGCCCACAGCTCTCCAGCGATGTTGTTTTATTCAGAAGGCAAATTTGCAACTGAAACATATAAATAAAACAAGAATTAGTTTTCAGCGAGTGGATTTCACTTCTGCAACACTCCCAACAGTGCATGCATCGCGGAGACACAGTCTGTCTGACTTGTCTGTCTGTCTGTCTGTCTCTGCGGAGAATGTACTGCACATCCGAGCATCGTGTCTGCGGCTCTCGCGTGCGATGTCATCGTTATAAAGTGAAGCGCAATCCTCTCTCTCTCTCTCTCTCTCTGTGTGTGTGTCTCTGCAGCGGCCAAACCTGTGGTTGCAAACACAACTCGTTTCATCTTTGCTTCTGCAACACTATAATGGGGGGGGGGGGGTGGAGGGAGAAACAACGAGGGGTTTGAGACGAGACCAGCGTTATTCCTGGAATACTTGTCAAACTTTGATCTGCGTTGTGACATGGCGCACAGGGTGTGCTGAGCCGCTGTGTGCCGGCGGGGCTGGTCCGGCTGCTGGTGGGGATGATTGATCGCTCACTCCGGCAGTACTCTCTCTGCCCGCACTGCAACAGTGCAAATGGGAGACACTCTCTCTGCCCAACACGGTTTGTGTCCACAGATCATGTCTGCGCTCTGCTCCTGCTTGTGATCCTGCTGCTCCTCTTGCTCCTGCTACTCCTGCTGCTCCTGCTCCTGCTGCTCTTGCTCCTGCTACTCCTGCTGCTCCTGCTCTTGCTCCTGCTACTCCTGATCCTGTTGCTCCTGCTCTTGCTCCTGCTACTCCTGATCCTGCTGCTCCTGCTCTTGCTCCTGCTACTCCTGATCCTGCTGCTCCTGCTCTTGCTACTCCTGCTCCTGCTACTCCTGCTGCTCCTGCTACTCCTGCTGCTCCTGCTCTTGCTCCTGCTGCTCCTGCTCTTGCTCCTGCTACTCCTGCTCCTGCTCCGGGCCACCTTGGGCACTGTAAGCACAATAATAACCATTCACCAAGATTACAGGGTTATGGAACTATAATTCACATTGACAGAGTTGCTTTCTTTGCTGTTATCTTTTGCCCCCAACGGGCGGAATAATAAAACTAAAACTAATTGCATCACTTAGAGCGTTTGCTGCAATTTAGGGGGGGATCAATCAGATCGCATTAAGTTTGATTCATATCACATTCAGTTTGTTCCGGTTCCCACTAAGACTTTAGAAATAATACAACGACGATATATATATATATATATATATATATTAAACCGGGCTATCAAAAACTATTTCCATGACTACACGTGTCTGTAGGGCCAGTGATGAGATGACAAGAACTATGTAGCTTGTGGCTCCACCTGAGGCTGAGAGACCCAGGTCGGAGATCAGCAACTATCCTCGAGCTGTGGATAAGCAACTCTGCTGTCCCTCTAGATCAGCTATTCTTTTTTTTGGGGGGGGTAGATGGGTGTCTGACACATGCAAAAACCTATCACTGTGCATAAGAGTATCCGAACCAAGATGAGATTTCCATTTCCTACACATGGAAATTCCAGAGATTGAGTGTAGGAAGAGAATGCGCACTCTCTCCCTGGACGGACGCATCCTCTTACCTAATTCCAGAATGTATTAGGTGCAGGTTGGCAAGAGCCAAGGCTTGGGGACCCCAGAGTGTGACTTGGGGTACGGCTGGAGTCTAACCAACTAAAGCCTCATAGCTTGCCATTGATATAGCTGCTCCGCTGCTTGTCCATCTAGGATCACGCTACCCGTTGGGGTTGGTTTGCAGAGTTGACAGGATCTGAGTGGGATGACTCTCTGCCCCCAGTGACTGGTTTGCCCTTCCAGGTCCTGCCGATGAGCCAGGCTGGCAGTGCTGCCCCGAGACACTGCTCAGGAGCCAGACTACCAAGACCGCCACAGATAGCTGGTTCAATTCCGACATTACATTGGCAAGTGTCACCTTGAAGCCAGTTCAGCTCCAAGGAGATCCCATTTACACTTACACTTTGCTCTCTCTCGGTCAGCAACTCTGCTCTCTCTCTCTCTCTTTATTGATCAGCTCCTCTCCTTTTCTCTCCAGATCAGCTCCTCCTCTCTTTCTCTGCTCCATCTCTCTCTAGATCAGCTCCTCTCCCTCTCTCCCTGCTGTATCTCTCCCTCTCTCAGCTCTCTCTCTCTCTCCCACTCTGCTCTCTCTCTCTCTACTCTATCTCCCCCTCTCTGCTCTCTCTCTCTACTCTATCTCTCCCTCTGCTCTCTCTCTACTCTATCTCTCCTTCTCTGCTCTATCTCTCCCTCTGCTCTCTCTCTCTACTCTATCTCTCCCTCTGCTCTCTCTCTACTCTATCTCTCCTTCTCTGCTCTCTCTCTCCCTCTGCTCTCTCTCTCCCTCTGCGCTCTCTCTCTCCCTCACTCTACTCTATCTCTCTGCTCTCTCTCTACTTTATCTCTCTCTCTACTCTATCTCTCCTTCTCTGCTCTCTCTCTCCCTCTGCTCTCTCTCTCCCTCTGCGCTCTCTCTCTCCCTCTCTCTACTCTATCTCTCTACTCTCTCTCTCCCTCTGCTCTCTCTCTCCCTCTCTCTGCTCTATCGCTCCCTTTGCTCTGCTCTCTCTCTACTCTATTTCTCCCTCTGCTCTCTCTCTCCCCCCCCCCCCCTGCACCCCCCTGCCCCCCCCCCCCCCGCTGTGAGCCTGGCTGCCGGGGCGGTGTTGGGGGACAGGGGGTCCGCCTCGCTGCGCTGTGGTTGGATGTGGGGCGGGTGTGGGTTGGAGCGCGGAGTTGGCGCTCTCCCGGCGGCTGCCGCTGATTGAATGAAAGTTGCTGCAGGTTGTCCTGAGCTCCAACAAACCCTCTCCCTCAGCACAACACAACACAGGAGAGCCTCTCACCCCAACCGGAGAGCCTCTCACCCCAACCGGAGAGCCTCTCACCCCAACCGGAGAGCCTCTCACCCTCTCACCCCAACCGGAGAGCCTCTCACCCCCAACCGGAGAGCCTCTCACCCCAACCGGAGAGCCTCTCACCCCAACCGGAGAGCCTCTCACCCTCTCACCCCCAACCGGAGAGCCTCTCACCCCCAACCGGAGAGCCTCTCACCCTCTCACCCCAACCGGAGAGCCTCTCACCCTCTCACCCCAACCGGAGAGCCTCTCACCCCAACCGGAGAGCCTCTCACCCCCAACCGGAGAGCCTCTCACCCCAACCGGAGAGCCTCTCACCCTCTCACCCCCCAACCGGAGAGCCTCTCACCCCCAACCGGAGAGCCTCTCACCCCCAACCGGAGAGCCTCTCACCCTCTCACCCCAACCGGAGAGCCTCTCACCCTCTCACCCCCAACCGGAGAGCCTCTCACCCTCTCACCCTCAACCGGAGAGCCTCTCACCCCCAACCGGAGAGCCTCTCACCCTCTCACCCCAACCGGAGAGCCTCTCACCCCAACCGGAGAGCCTCTCCGCCTCACAGCCCCTCTCTCTCTCTCTCTCTGTTTCACGCAGTGAGCAATTCCCTTTCGCCCGCAACTGCCTGAGAACCGTCCCAGGACCGGGGACCCCCTTCTGGTTGGGGGGGGGGGACCGGAGCGATGGCTCCCGCGGACACTCCGGGAGGCGCTCGGCTCCTCCTGCACTGCCTCTCCCTCCTCTCCAGCACCGGAGGAGCCGCCTTCCACGGCCCCGTCTCCGAGACCCCCCACCCCACCCCCCCGACCCCCCCCAGGACCCCGGTGCCCGGCCCGCGGCCCCCGCACCCGTTCGGCGGCACCGCGCGCCCTGCCCTGGGCGGGGACCGGGACCGGGACGGGGCTCCCCGGCTCCCCCAGACCCCCGTCCCCGCCCACCCCCCGGGCGGGCAGCTCGGGGCGCGGTACGTCCTGACGCTCAGCCCCTCTCCCCTCCCCACCCCGAGCGGCCGGAGCCCCGCGGGCGCGTCGGGTGCCCCGCGGGTGGAGGTGGACGAGACGTGCCCTCTGGGGTCGGAGATCGCCCGAGTGACGGCCGCGGACACCGACCGCCCGCGGGGCACCGCCGACCTGGTGTACCGCTCCCCTCTCCCCCACCCGCTCCTGTTCGTGGTCCCGGGCACCGGGCAGGTGCTGCTGGTGGGCTCTCTGCTCGGGGTGAGAGCCATCGCCCTGGTGGTTGACGGCCGGGATGGCGGTGCCCCCCCGCAGGTCAGCGACCCCCTGGCGGTGATGGTCAGCGTGAAAGCCGCGGACCTGCAGCCCCGCAGGAGCAGGAGAGGGACCAGGACCAGGGCAGCGGCCGAGGACGTGTTCCACTCGGTCACGGTGTCCGAGCAGAGTAACGTCGGGGATGTCATCCTCGCCGTCCCCGACCGGACCTTTGGAGGGCGTTGGTTTGAGGTGATCGCTCCGACCGACCCCCCGGTCCACATCGAGAGGGAGACGGGCAAAGTGCACCTGCGGGAGAGGCTGCGCAGCCCCGAGGCTCTGCACATCACCGTCCAGGTCAACAGCCAAGAGGGTAAGTGGCTATCGCTCTCCTCTCACTCCACTCACTCACTCACTCACTCCACTCACACTCCACTCACTCACTCACTCACTCACTCACTCACTCTCACTCCACTCACTCACTCACTCTCACTCCACTCACTCACTCACTCCACTCACTCTCACTCACTCACTCACTCACTCACTCACTCTCAATCTACTCACTCACTCACTCTCACTCCACTCACTCACACTCTCACTCACTCACTCCGCTCACTCACACTCTCACTCACTCACTCCGCTCACTCACACTCTCACTCACTTACTCCACTCACTCACACTCTCACTCACTCACTCCACTCACTCACTCACACTCTCACTCACTCACTCCGCTCACTCACACTCTCACTCACTCACTCCACTCACTCACACTCTCACTCACTCACTCCACTCACTCACACTCTCACTCACTCACTCCACTCACACTCTCACTCACTCATTCCGCTCACTCACACGGTCAGTGTTCATTACAACACTGGTTTTCATCGATTCTGTCGGATGCATTGATCTTAATCGGCCTTCAGTGGGTTATAATGACATTTCTGACAGTGTGAGATGATCTTGCAATCACAGCTACTCGGCTATTTTACAAATCCATCCCCATTATTCCAACCCAGTTATGCACTTGGCTGTTTAATGCTTCCAAATTATGCGTTTCTGGTAGTACAACTTCTGACTGTGAGTGGAAGTGTGTGAGAGTGATTTTTTTTCTGGAGGAAACCCTGATCGAAACTTACTTTGGGAATTAGCTTTGTGATTCAGTGCTGAAACAAATTGCCTCTTGGGACTGAGAGGTTTCCATTTGGGAGACACTCAACGTGGTTGGAGGCACCACCTATTTGCAATACAATACAAAATCACATTTGTACAGAGCCTTTCAGGTCAGGAGGACGTCCCAATGCGCTGGACAGTCAGGGATTTGGTATTAACATCATACCAACCTGTCTGCTCCCTCAGCTCTGTGTCCCCTGCCCTCCCCATCATTGGTGGTCAGGCCTTCAGCCTTTCTGCCCCCACTCTCTGGAACTCCATTCAGGAATCCCTCTGCCTTGCCCTCGCCTCCTTCAAGGCCCGTCTCAAGACTTTCCTCTTTGATCGTGCTTTTGGCCACCCTCCCTACCCTCCACCTCTCCTGATTCCAACCCCCAGGTTGGGTGCAAACCCTTGACTGTCCAGTGCCTTGGGACATCTTTTTGACCTGAAAGGCACTATGTAAATATAATGTGCTGTTGCTGCTACTGTTGTTGTTGTACACTATAGAACGGGAGACATACAACAGAGTCACTGATAGATTGTGAAGTGGAAGTGCACTTATCACTGCACTTTCCGCGTTGATGCAAAACACTTACTGCTTTGCGGGTAGCACAAGATGAGGTTCCAGTGCAATATGGCTGAGATGTGAGATGGTGAGGCGGCCTAAAGGGGGGCAGTCTCGGGGCTCAGGCGCTCCGAGTATTGAGCGCACTATGTGGAAGCGCCGCCGGAGGTGGCGGTGACTCCCAAGGCTTGGTGCGCTTGGTGGGCCAAGTCTTCAGCAATAGGGAGCCTCGACTCTCCCCTGTCCAGCTGAGTTGATCATGAAAGTTGGCTAATGGCCAGCAGAAACAGCATGAAACATCTTGAGATCTGCCGAGCGGAATGGTGCAATAGTCCAGGAACTTTACAACACTTAACTCATTCACTGCTGAAGAGAGGGGCTTTTTTTTATTTGGGGGGAGATGTCTCTCTCTCTCTCTCTCACTCACTCTGTACTGTGTACAATCCCCAACTGGAAGCTTTCTACAAACTGCAGTTGTACCGCAGCCGGAGTGATCTGAGAGCTTCCTGCACGGCCTCCCACCGCTCCTGTCAGGCTGCTGACTAACCCTGTGGTTATAGTTGAGTGTTTGGGCAGGGTTCAGCGTGCAAATCACATCGCAACAGCACAACTCCGTGTCATCACACAACCAGCGGAAAATAAGGGCAAAATACGGCATTTCATGACAGATTCCATATTGTATGAATTGCCATATTTTCGCCCCAATTGCCACCAGCTGTTTAGTGCAACACTGGACCAGCTTTAAGTTTCCTAGTGAGCTACTGACCTGTCTGTGCCCTGTCCTGCCCTGCCCTGCCCTGCTGACTCTTCTGGCATTACACATAATAATAATAATAATAATCCTTGCATTTGGTATAGCGCTTTTCACGTCGGGAGGACGTCCCAAAGCGCTTCACAGAACACACTGTAAAGTGAATTGACTGTATATTTGTGGGCGAATGCGGCAGCCAATTGCGCACAGCAATGTCCCTCAAACAGTCGTAGATTGAAAATGACCAATTTATTATTGGTTTTGGTTTTGGAGGGATTATTATTAGGCTCTGTGTGGAGTAAGGAAACTTGCCCAAGGTTTCGCCCTCTGCCTGGAATTGAACTCAGGTCTCTCACTTGCAAAGCGAGTGCTCTAACCACTGAGCTACAGGACTCCAACATGTCACCAGCAGTCAGTCAGTCAGTCAGTGACCAAGGAGCAAAGCTTTAAGTGTATGTGCGGTGTGTGTACAGAGCTCTGCTTTCCTTGAGCAGCGTATGGGGAAGGGGGAATAAAATGAGTTGGTGAGACAGTCTATTTTGATTCCGATATCAAAATTTCCACAGTTTTGTGTTAGATTCGTGAGGTTAACGTGGAGCATCGGTATAGTGATGGGGGAGGGAAAGTATAAGGTATGTGATGTGATAGTTTTCACGTATCAAATATGTATGCATCTAATCACCCACCACAAATTACTCACCCCAACTGTTCTGAACCAATACATTTTCAGCCTGCTTTGCAATAATGTATATGTTTTAATTGTGCCAGTGATATTTGCTAAATGTGCTAGTGATCTCTATTAATTGAACATCATTGAATTGAGCGCAATGAATCTATCATTTTTATTGAACACCAACTGAAAATATTACAAGCACTTGTGATAATAATGTAATAATCCTTGCATTTGATATAGCGCCTTATTGTGTCGTTGAGACGGCTGAAAGCTCTTCACACAATATACTGTAAAGTGAATTGACTATATTTTGTGGGTGAAATGTAACAGCCAATTGCATAAAGCAGTGTCCCACATAGTCTTGATGTTTTAATAGTCTGTCCAGTATTAGATACCACCAACACTTCAGTCCTTGTGGTTATTTTATTGACAGACTGTTTGACTTGGGCATTTTTGAGCCTTTCTGTGGTGTCTAATTAAAATGTCACTCATCCATTGGCCATATGGCTGGATCTAAAACTGTGCAGTGTTAACCTCTTTGTAATCCTATTAATGTGCAACAAAATAAGCTTACATTAATTATTTTATTTAAAACAAAATTAAGCCTATAGTAGTTGGTATAAATAGAAACAATAATAGCAGTTAATTCCATGGATGTGCACACTTATGCTTAGTTATTAGCCCTTCCTGACTGTAGAATTAATATTATAACTGCTTGTCTCTATTGTACATTCTCTGTTTAACTTTTGCGATATCATTGTTTGGAGTGTCTATATTTTTTCTGTTTGGTGATCTTCACTAACAATTACCTATTAATTATCTTACTGACATTTTCATGTAAGAGGAAGGCAATACAATACTGTATGTGATCATCTTGTATCTAAGCACCCACATTGCAAGCATATTGTATGCCCAGGAATTTGTCTTGTTCACTCTAAATCAATTTTGCGGCTCATCTTACATCCAGATTATTCTAAATGAAATGAATTTTAAATGAACAGAACCGACCTGTTATTTTCCAAGACAACAACAATTTATCATTGGTTTTAAATCAATTGAGGAAGAATAACTCATGGTTATGACAATTGACAAATCAATTCTTTATATTTTTGTGGCAACTTTCCCCTTTTAGTCTGCCCCTCTTCTAAAATTGGGTTTGTTTCCAAACACATTGGCAGCCCTTTGGGACCTGGCTGAAGCTAGCCAAGACTGAGGCAGTGCTACTGGCCAACAAACCTCCCAAATAAAATTGGTCACTCACTCTATGGTTGTTTGTGAGACATTGTTGTGCACAATTGGGCTCCAGCATGATTGAAGCATTATTATTCTTCCCCTCATGACTGACTTTTCTGTGAGCAAAATGCCTGTGATATTTGTCTTATAAAAACAGTCACTACACTCGATGATGAATTGGAGAGGCTTTGAGACGTTTCAAATATTTTAAAGTAAGATAAGGCACTGTAAAGGTTATTTCATCAAGTGGAAGCTTAGATAATGGGTGTCAGTAGTCCAGTCAAGCCAAATCTTATCCTTATAAGGTCATTTACGAGCATGTGCCATTGGATATAAATCGATAGCTGGTTGATTTTCCCTTCCTAATTGCCAGGGTGCTAATCCCAATTGTAGCACTCCAACTCTTACTCTGGCTCAGACCAATTAACTGCTTTAATATAATTGATTGGATATAGCTTCTTATCACAAAGCAACATCTCAACTCACACAATCAGTTACTCTTTGGAGCATAATGACTTTATAGGGGCAACAACGTGACAGCAAATATACTATAATACTGTGCAAGAGTCAGAAATGATTCAGTAAAAGTGTCACTAACAGTAAACCTGGAACAAACTCCTTTACTTCTACCTGACTGGTGAATGAATGAATTAATGATCTTTGCTTATTCTTGGTTAGATTTGGGTGGCGGCTGGTGGCTATCACTGATTCTGACTACAGTATTTACTCAAAAAAGGTGAGAAACCCTGGGACATCCTCAGCAAGTTCCCAATGTTCGGTACCTGTAGCAGCTAAATATTCAGACTAAAGGACTGTCTTGTGCTGTTTTTTCAGTCTTTTCATCCAATTTTATTGAATGTATCGCCAATCTGTCAGATCGCCGATCCATTCTGTTCGAGCACTCGCCTCACAAGCGATTCTCAGCAGGGCCAAACATCAGGCAAGTTTCCTTATCATCACATAATAATAATAATAATCCTTGTATTTGATATAGCACTA